CCACTCTGAGTTGTTGGGCAATAAATTAATTTCCCCAGGTCCAATCTCTTTTGGACATGATAGCAATAGGTGAGTGACCTCTCCCTGTTCTTATCTCAACCCATAAACCTTCAGCTGTATTTTCTCTCCCCTGTTCAGCTGAGGAGCAGAGTAATAGAGCAACTTCGGTGGGCACCTGTCATCCAGCAAGATCAACCCACCTAAACACACAATTACGCATATTTAATCCTACCAAAGCAGTTGTTCTAATCTTGTACGTTTCAGTAGCAAGTGGACTGATTTGGTATCCATTCTGTAGATTCAAATGCATATTCACAACCACAAAAACCTGGGAAAGAGAAGATATTCTATGGAGATGATCCAAACAAAATTAGAAGTAAAATTGCATGACTCATAACTTCAGGCAATGCCAAATCCTCCTCAAGCAGAATGATTTCTCTTCCAAAATCTTAATATGTTATGTTTTCTTACTCTTCACAAGGCCTTCAGTTTTATGAATAAATGTTTTCCATACCACAAACCGATGCATTTAAGTACAAGCTTTTTCTTATGAAAGCTAAAGAAAACCATTGAAAATTAGCCTAACCAAAGAAAAGCAAGCTACAGAAAAACAAGTATTTCTACTATAACAGTTCAGCGGTGTTTGGGTTCAAACAAGTTGTTTGGTCAGAGAAAGTCTCTTACATTAAGAATAATGAAAGTAACCAATAGTCCACATATGTCAGGAGTACCTTAACTTTTTGAACCCTAAATCCCAGTCATGTCTCAAAATTGCTTGTCTATTTTTTTAACATTAAAACACTAGAGATGTAAGGTGCTCCCTGAATGTAGATCAACTGAAGTCTGCCTTGAAGACCAGCTGTACATTCATACGTACAATGATCTTGATGACCACTAGGTGAGTTCTGTATTAAAAATGCCTACAAGAGAGAATAGTAACTTTATGCACAATATATAAAAAATATAGTTTAAGCTCAATCAAAAACAGGTTCACTTTTGTATTTCCTAATGCTGAAATCACTGTAGGCCTGCAGCCCTATTTTTTGATTTCAAGAGCTTCCTTTAGACTACTTTAGGGCTCAGGTTTAGACTGCTTTAGGACTACTTGAGAGCAAATGGTATAAGAATATTTGGAGGTTGGTAATTTGGACAACTGAATTAGTAATAAGAAATAAACACTTTATGTATAGAACTAATAACAATAAATATGAGGTATTTAATTAAGCCTCAAGTTCAATATTTATTCATAAAAATTCAGTGTTCATAAAATAAAGAATGGCTTTTTTTGTGAAATAGCAGCATGCTATTTCAGAAAAAATAACATTTCAGTATACAAATGCAACTATTGCTTAATAAGCTCTCTTTATTTAAAAAACACAAAACTACCAAAAAACCCCACCAAATCTAATCTGAGTCAAATTTTCATTGGAATTATTTCTACCTCAGAATAACAAAGACATTAGCAAAACATTTCAGTCAGGCTTTCCAAATTCCACTATTCTAAATTGTTCCAACTTAAACACATTTAAAACACAACAAAACCCAGCAAGTATAATCTAAATCATACACCTTCCAGTCTTCTTCCCACAAGCCTTGCAGTCTGAAAGTTACCATGGAAACAAATTCTACATTTCCACAAATTGGAAGAGCCAGTTAAAAACAAAACAAAACTAAACTAAAAAAAAATTAACTCATTGCTAACTATGTCTTAATCAATGTATTAAGAAGGCCATGGCTAACTAGCCTCTAAACAGAAATAGTGAGAGTGACACTCTCATTAATTAATTGGTCAGGGATCCAAAATAGAATGGAAAGAAAAGAAAGAAAAGAGAGAGGAGAGAGAGAGAGAGAGAGAGAGAGAGAGA